AGAGAGAGAGAGAGAGAGAGAGAGAGAGAGAGAGAGAGAGAGAGAGAGAGAGAGAGAGAGAGAGAGAGAGAGGAAATGTACGGTGGTCAAGGGGTAACAGAGGACTGTGGGATGCTCAGCGAATTGCCTTCATCTTCGATAGTGGATGATTTGTCAAAACGGCTTCAGTCAATGAGAAATCCTCTGAAAAGTTGTGCAACAGCGCCCTTTCTTTCCTATTGGTTAGTGTTCAGCTACGATCATATGTTGAACGAGAAATATGATCCGGTATCTGGTAGGTAGATCGATAGAGAAATGTGGAGACGTTCGACAGCAGCATACAATTCCCCCTAGAGTATGGTGGCCCCGCAGAGCTGGATTTCCCCCTTCCCTCCTGTCCCACCCCCTTGCTGAAGTCAGCGCCCCTTGTCATGGCCCAGAAAAAGGACAATCCCACAATACGCCCCTACCCTCTCAAGGAGAACACCTCACACCTTGTGCAACCCTCGCAGGGAAGAGCGCCAATCCTGAAGAAGGAATCCGGATCAGTACCTATGAGCCCAAACCCTACAAAACCTCATGATGAGCCTCAGAGTTTCCATTCGCCCCAAAACAGACTAGAAGTAAAACTACCAATCACAGATTCCAAAAAAAACTCGAAACAATCTAAGGACTCAAATCAGAACACACCAATTCAAAATCAACTATGAGCATCAAATTGAACATACAGGACTAGAGAATCCAAACATCAAGTAAGATTTGATAACCGTGAGACATCAATTCAGATTGAAGAACCAATTTGCCAATCGTTTTAGGTACTCATCCTTTGAGATCAGAGCTGAGCTCTGATTTACGAATCTCCAATTGAGAAATATTGCCCAAAAGTTATTTCAGAAAACAATCAAGACTCACTCGAAATTCAGAAAATCTGCATTAGATCCTCATCGCTTTTTTGAACATCAAGGAACCAAACTTAGAAATCAGAATAGAAAAGACAAACAGAATAGAAAGTACAAAATCAAGCTGATTATCATGGAACAACCAAATCAGAAAACACTGCGAACTTAGAAATCAGAATAGAAAGACAAAAGGGGAGAGAGAGAGAGAGAGAGAGAGAGAGAGAGA